GTGATTGGTGGCGTTGGTCTCGCCTTGGTGTTGGAAGGTTTCCAGGCTTAGGCATGAAGGTCAGTGCTGTGCTGCGCACGTCTCCCGCCCTGCAGTCTGCGACAGCGCGTGAGGAGCTTTCGCATGCCAGCTATGTGGATTACACCCGGGAGCTGCGTGCACGGCCTACTTCTCTCCGCATTCCTGACGACAAAGACCGCAAGGCTGTGTGGCACGTGTGTGCTGATACCTACCTCGTGCTCATGATGTGCTACGCTTTGCTGTCTCCCACTTGGAGTTTGACGCCACTGGATGCCGATCATGCGAACCTCTTGGTGATGTTGACGTTGTTGCGCGTTGTGCCTTCCAAGCTCCACCGTTGGTTGAAACTTGATTCTCAGACAGTGTGGCTCCCTTATGCTTACGTGACCATTAAGAGCAAGTGCTACACAGCTGCTGGCCGCGTTTGCCGCAAACTCGGGCATTCTTGCTGCAGAAAGATTGTGAGCTACTGTCGATGGCCAGCAAAACGGAACTGGAGGCTCATCGGTCGTGGTCTTGAGCTTGTACTCCGTCGTTCTGGCCTTGGGTTCGAAGTGCAGAATCTAAGTAAAGCTTCATGTGGCTTGTTGGATGCCTTGTCCATGCTGCAATGTGGTGCGCAGGCTTGTGTTTGTCAACGCTGTGGTTGCCGAAAGCCTGACCTTGTAGGGGTCGTTTGTGATGCAGGCCAGTTCTTTGAGATGGTGTCGCCACACCAAGCCGTCACTGCAGTTGTTGACGTTGCCAAAGAGGTGGCTTTGAGCACTGGCACGTGCACAGTCACAGTCTTCAAGCAACGCCGTGTCCGGGGGTTTCTTGGTGGTTCGCCTGGTGCCTTTTCTCCCAAGTTCGTGGTTTTCTCGTTTTTTGAGCTGATTGCTTGTTTTTGGGCTTCGGTTCTGGTTTCTTTCTGTAGTCTGGGGAATTTGGTTTTTCGGTTGCATGGCTTGCCTATAGGGGGGTTTCTCAGCAAAGTTGCCACGAGCTTCGTGCTTGCAGCTGATGAAGCTGCCTGGGTTCGCTCCCGCGTTGCGCAGCGAGCTGCTGGCTTCTTTGTCCCTGGCAAGTCCTGGGATCAGCTTGCATTGTGCCGCAGATATGTGGATGACTTGCTGCTCATTTCCCGGGCCTGGTGCTTCACTTGCCTCTGTGTGCTTCCCAGCGAGATCTATTCCGTGCCGTTTGACGCTGGACCTTGCAGCCGCCAGCTCTCGTGGCTTGATTTCCTCATTGACCTGGATCTGTGTGCTCTTGATATCAAGTCTGCTCCCATCACTTGCCCACCTCCATGGGATGTGAGCCAATCTTACTTGAGAAGCTTCTTTTGGGGCAGGCTGGCCCGATATCGTCAATTGGGGCTACGGGCGGAAGTATGGCAGCGTGATGTCGTCATGCACTTGCTTTCCCTGCGCCAACGCGGGTTCGGGCGACATCGGTTGAGAAGTCTTGTTTTCAGCATGCGGAAGCCTGGGTTCGAAACAGATCTGTCATTCCTCAAGTCTGCTGTGTGCACTTCGAGGTTTAAGGAGTTCAAAGACTCGCCTCAGACCCCTTGCAGCCGTTGATGCTCTGACAACCAGCAAGAGGCGTCAACCCACAGTCATACGCTACTCATGGGCCCGTTGCTTGTGGTAATTGTGCTGCTGCTTGCGCAGGCCCGCCTTGCGTTTGCAGGTTGGGGCAGCGGCAAGGGCTGGACGCAGCGGGGGCACAACTCCTACTACAACCAGTCTAACGGGCATCGGTGGCAAAGCGGTTTTGGTGGCCAACCGCAGACCGTAAGGGTTGAAATCGATCATGTGCGAGGTTCGGCTTCCCGCAAGCGCCGCAAATCAAAGAAAGATAAGCGCCATGATCATTTTGAGTCCTCTTCAGAGTCGGAGTCCTCTTCGTCTCCTCACAAGCATGGGCGCAAGAGGCCTTCAGGATTTAGCGACAAGGAGAATGCCAGGTTGCAATCAGAGCTTGAGACACTACGCAAAGAGAAAGCGGATCGGGAGGCTGCTGACCGAAAACAAGAGCTCATGGCAGAGGTTCGAGCTATCACTGCCGAGATTGCGGGCAAGTTCCAGACGCATGCCCCTTCGCAACCAGCTGCCAAAGAGCCCTCCAACCAGTTGCCGGGGGCCAGCAAGCCTGTGGATTGTACTGCTCTCACCCCGGCTGAAAAGATGGCAGTTTTTCACAGCTTGGACGGCTACGTCGGCGTGAAGTCTGCCAAGTCTTGGGCTGAACTGGAAGAGACTTTGGCGAACGAGGATGAAGGGGTCTTGAAGGACTTGTTCCGCAAGGTTTTCCGACGTGGCGGGCTACCTAAATCAAACCCTGCTATGGCTCGCAAATTGGTCATTGGCCTCCAGAGCAGCATTGCGGAGTTCGCAGAACAGTGAGCACAACTGACATTTCGGACTGCTGGCCATATTGCTTCCCGTGTGCTCCCTCCCACTTTTACCTTCTGGTGCCTGGTGGGGTGTTTATGCTTTGCTGCATTCTGCTGCGGGTATCTCTGGGCCACGCAGGAGTGTCATGTAGGCTTTGCTGCTACGTGGGGGCCTGTGGGCTATTTCAGCGCTTTGAAAGCGATTGCCTATGACTACCCTGTGACGAACAGGCTTGTTTCCTACATTTGGGGCTATGATGTTGGAAGTCTGGTCAGGGCTATGTCTCTGTCTGCAGGTGGCACTTTTCTGGCAGTCCT